TATACTAGTGTCTCCTAGCTGTAAACTTTTGTCCCTATGTTTTCCCATGGTACATAACGTAGATACGGGTGTATTGTATGAGCGTACACTTAGATTCTTATTTCTTTTTCTTTAATTTGTTGGCAGTAGCCAAGCCTCATTGTGACGACCGTCCTGATGCACCACCTCTCGAGGAGGAAGAAGATAACAGAGCACATGGGCTGTACCAGCATCATCATACAAGGGTTCTAGATCTTACCACCCATCCTTGACACATTAGAAGTTATTGAAAATAACTTTTATGAAGAAGATAATTAGATACTAGTCTAGTAAAAAGGTTTAGACCCCCCTTAAGTGGTGATCCAGACTGGATCTTGCCATCTGCTTCATGTGGAGACCCCATAGATCCCGATTTCACTTTAAAAAAAAATTAGAAGCAAGATTGTTTTACATGTCAATCCCAGTTCCCTCTCCTGACCCCCACCCCCACCCCAGCTAACACCCTACCTATCCCATACCCTTTCTACTCCCCAGGCAGGGTGAGGCCTTCCATAGAGGGGTCTTAAGAGTCTGTCATATCCTTTGGGATAGGGCCTAGGCCCACCCCCATGTGTCTAGGCTCAGGGAGTATCCATCTATATGGAATGGGCTCCCAAAGTCCATTCCTATGCTAGGATTAAGTACTGATCTACTGCGGTAAATTTCTGAGACTCAGGGCATCTATATCAGTCTCATGCTGCTTTCCCAGCCATCAGTCTGGGAACCAAGAGTTTTATGTTGTTCAGGTCAGCTGTTTTTGTGGTTTTCACCAGCCTGGTATGGACCCCTTTGCTTATCAGTCTTCCTTCTCTACATCTGGATTTCAGTTCAGTTCAAGGTTTAGCTGTGGGTGTCTGCTTCTACTTCCACCTGGATGAAGGCTATATGATGGCATATGAATTAGTCATCAATCTCATTATCAGAAGAGGGCATTTAAGGTAGCCTCTTCTCTGTTGCTTAGATTGTTAGTTGCTGTCATCCTTGTAAATCTCCAGACATTTCCCTAGTGCCTGATTTCTCGTCCCCCGACTCAACCTTCCTGCTCCCTCATGTCCTCCTCACCCCTTCTCTTCTCCCCTTCTCATTCTCCCAGCTCCCTTTCTGCTCCCCCCATGCTCCCAATTTGCTCAGGAGATCTTGTCCCTTTCCCCTTCTCCGGGGGAACATGTATGTCTCTCTTAGGGTCCTCCTTGCTTCCTAGCTTCTCACGGATGCCAATTTCACTTTTTGAATGAAAACAATGAGGCTGACTGAGATGAAGTTCCACTTGGGCGTCACACAGCCCTTAGAGGATCCAGGCTTGTGTGTGCCCCAGAGCTCATGTGCATCCACTGTGTACTACCACATTTCCCGTGTAGCTGTTAGCTGCAAGACAGAAGGTTTTATTTTTCCTCAAGGTTGATTGCCTTTGAGATTATTATAATTATTGCTTCACTTTTGTATAGTCCTCTTCTAGGGAATAATAATATGTGTAATGATTGTATAATTACTATTTTTAACTTACTGTGCTATCATTAAACCAAAAATATTGTATGCCCATTATCTGCATAGTTCTATAAGGAGAGGTACTATTAGTGACCCCATTTTATTTTTTCATTGAAGAGGATGTTAGACACACTTAGAGCACAGAGCTAACACACAGAAGACTTTGATGCCATGCCTGGTAGACATGAGTGTCCATTTTCTTAAGTTCTGCTGCCTGTGTACAAAATAATGCCACAGTCCTCCTGTGAGTAGTGGGATGGAGAGATGGTAGCTCAAAGCCCATCTGTTCTCAGAGGTATTATGGGATTTCAGTTGCTTACATTCCTCTTCTTGGGGCATGCCTAACAAGTAGAAATATAGAAGCAAGTTTCAAAATAGCTTTTGGGTAGACAGAAGAGCTGGTCATCAAGATGGAGACAGAAGAAAGGTAGCAGGGGGTCCAATGAGCTCATCCTGAGAGGATAAGACAGGTGAAGACATTATAAAGTAAAAGAGACTGAAGAATATACCTGAGAATTGTCACTAGCAAGTGTTACAAAGGCAAACAGAAAGAAAGTCAAATCATGACATTCTAATTACTGAGGCAAAAGAAATGTTTGTCTCATTGAGAAGAACAAGACAATGGGAACCTGAAGACATCCAGGTCTGTTGGCCCCCATGGAAACAAAGTACTTCTCAGCTCTGTGGTGGACAAGTGACACAAATGTCACCCCAGCATTGAGAGTGAGCTTCTCTGTTTTGTTAAGAGTAAGTCCTATACCCAGACACATTGATTGTTTGGCCAACAGCTCTGAAAACCTGTCTAAGAGGGCTACAAGTTAAACAGTAATGAAATTCTACTGTCATTACTATACCATTCCTCACTTCTTCCAACCCCTGGCTGACTCTGATGTTTGAAACATAGCTCGACACTGATATATAATTTCAAGAGGACTTTGTATTCCACTTATGGGCCTTAATTATAGATGAGAGTCTGTGATTTGGTGTAGTTTGCTTAAGAAAGCACTGGCATAGTTAATATATTTTAAACATGTTTCTATTGAAAATGGCCAGTTTTCTATTACCTGGAATGCTCTCAAGGGAAACATCTCTGTCCTGGCACCCCAAACTGATAATTCTTAGTGCTATGCCATATTTATCAGTAAATTTAATAGCTACAAGTGACCCCAAATGTTCACCATGTGGCTGCATATCCTATTAAATAATTTAAGATTTTTAGTAGCAACAGGAATTCTTCAGTAAACCAGTTTTTCAGAATGATACACATCCTTTATTTGATCATAGAAATGTCATTGTAATATATATTTATCCTATGAGTGTCTGATTTGAAGTTGTTTATCAGATGAGTGGACTATGAGGAATACCTATATAACCTGATACTTCACAAGGGAGGGGGAAAGTGTAAGAGGACCAAAGACATCGGTTTACATGGACAAATTATGGATGGAAAATAGGAAGTTCTGGTGATGTGAAAGTGCAATGCCAAAATCATTCTATCTAATTTATTTATGCAGGAGCAGATTTACATTCATTTTTAGTGTGGAAATTTGGGCACACGGTACTGTAAAATAGACCAGAGAAATGTTTTCCAGTTGAGAAGAACTTTGTCCAGCCGTCACTTAATGCATCAGGAATCCACCCCTGCCTGGACCAATGAAAGTTAGACAGGAAGCTAGTGAAATGTGCATCTGATGGCCATTTAGCCTAAGGATATACCTGTGGTTTCTACCACATCTAAAGAAGCCCTGGTAGAAATTGCTCTTACTATTGCTGTAGTAATAAGTGCTTTGCCTGCTTCTAATGTTGTCCCTTCCCCATCTGTTCCCTCACTGCCGCCAGAGTGATCTTTCTCAAGCACGGGTGTGATCACAACACTCTCCTGCTCGAAACCCTACATTGGCTCCCTATTTCCCTCGGGATGAGGGCCTTAAAAATAGCTTCAAGTTCTGGCTCCTGCTTCCATCTCTAGTCTCATCTTTCTTCAATAATCTCCCCTCCACCAACTGCTCACTGCTACCCCACAACATACATACTCCAACCTCCGTGCCTGCCAGATGATTGCGTTTTCCAAAGGCACCTGGCTCTCCCTCCTTCCCCGGGTCTTTGCACATGCTGCCCGCTCTCTTGTCATGATATTCGTCCTATTCTTTGTAAGGTGAATTTCTACTCAGGCTGTGTGCCTTTCATTGTATAAGCCTCCAGGCAGCACCCCTCTCTGTCACTAGCCACTCCCTCACCCCTGTCCATTCTTTCTGAGTGACCCCAGGAATCTAGCCCTATTTCAATATTTACTACAGTCTAGTAGTTGAGCTTTAAAGAGAAAACATTGTTGATTTTGTTGACTGGACTAAAAACTCTTTCAGAGCATGGTCCGGATCTTTTGTATTGATCCATCTCGGTATATTTGTGTTTGGCATAAAGCAATTGCTCAAGTGTTTGCAGAATGAGCATTGCACTGTTTGACTAAACATGAGCTCCCTGTGTATAAGGCAGTATTACAAAATGGAAAGAAAGAGCACTGGACATGGAGGCAGAAGACAGATTTAGTTCCAACTCTGCTAGTTAACTAGATATGCAGGTGGCTTTGAGCAAATCCCTCTGTGGAGCTGGGGCGGTGGCTCAGTGGCTAAGAGAGCTTGCAAAAGACTCAAGTTCTGTTCCCAGAACCTACATTGTCAGTTGGCTCACAACCACCTGTAACTACAGCATCAGGATATTTGATGCTGTCTTCTGACCCACCACAACCACCAACATACTCACATCATCCACATACACAGAAATAAAAATAAATATTTACGAGAAAGAGAGAGAGAGAGAGAGAGAGAGAGAGAGAGAGAGAGAGAGAAAAGAAATATTTTAGTGCTGCTAAGCCTAAGGTACTTCCTGTTAAACAAGAGAGTCTCTTCCATATGTCTAAATTTATTGGAAGAAAAGACAGGTTGATGCATCTGACTGTGTCTTGTGAAACAGAAGGCATAATCGTGTATAGGATGAAGCCAGAGTCTATGATTGGTTCTAAGCAAGAGCAGGTTGCACTCAGTGTTAGAGCTCTTGCCTAGTATGTTTAAGGCTACACCTCCTCTCCAAGAGAGAGAGAAAGGGGGTGGTAACTAATGTGAATAGAACGTGTCTAATACCAACAGGCCCTATCTAGGTGTGCATACATCTTCCTTTGCCTTGAAGGTGAGTTCTCCAGTGTTTTGGAAATGTTGTGAGAACATTTTTGGAGGGAGATATATTTTCAGAAATACTTCTGTTGAACATTTCCTTTCCTTTGTGTATGTTTCTTTGAAAGAATTTGACCTCCTTTTGGTTTCTGTTTTCTTTCCAAGAACTGACTCACGCTTGGATCTGAGGCTCAGAGCTCAACATTGCACTTGAAGTTCTGACACAGTTTCCAGCAAGGAAAATGAACGTAATTTATTGTAGGAAAGATGGGGGATGCCACTGAAAGGAGGATGTGGAACCTGAGACCTTTCCTCGTTATTCCTTCCCAGAGTTTTGACGTTTGCTGAAGTACAAGAATACAGCCACTGCTGGCAGTACCCAGGCACTGGCAACACTCACTCGGTTCATCCCAAAATGTGGAAAACACCATGCCATCTGCTAAGGTTACAATTGGTTTGTGTTGCTATTACTTAGAAAAATAATGATGATAAAGCAAAATCAAATTCTTAGTTAATGGGGATTTCCTCATCACCTTTTCTGGTCAGTAGAATGGACCTGTGCATCGGGGCGGATCCTTACAGTATTCTTCTAGCAGTTATTCGTTTATTCGCCCATTAAATATTTATTGACTACACAGCTGTATCAGGCACCATTTCAGGTTCTATAGATACATTCATGAGAAAGCAAATGTCAGTTTTGTCTGTATTTACTTTCTAGATAGATGCACACATTCAGTCTCTCCTAGATGTCGTACCAGCTTGAGGCAAAAAATGTGTTCCTGATACCTCAGAGTGTCATTGCAGAGGCTGCTGTATTTCTTTGTACAAGACAGTCACACTAGGAAGAAGTGGCCCCACACATAGAGGACAGCTGGGAAATTAGGAGGAACAACCTTAGGTGTGACCTTCAGGGTATGTCACATGCATGGGCGACGGAAAATGAGGCTCATGGAGTCCCCGTAGCCCTCTGTAGTTTCTCTGCATCTCTTATAAATGACTGAAGCATAGTAAATCCCTGGATATCAGAGGCAGAGTGTGCTGGAATCCCAGGCTACACTCTTAGCTGAGGAACTGAGAGAACTTACGCAACCTTTAAGGGTCCTTATTTGTAAATTGAAAACAAAAGGACAACCTATCTAAATGGGGTTGGTAGGAGGGTTATGTAAAAGATGATTACATTGAAAGAACTTAGTCTATGATAAACATTAATAAATGCTTATTAAATGATAAAGTCCCTGAGAGGATTTTACAATTTTGCCTGTTGTGAACGAAGAGCCTGGTATGACAGAAACACTTGTTTTTCAGCAGGCTACAAATAACGAGGAGGTAGATGCTGTTTTGTGTCTTCAGTTCTGGGAGCTTTCCTCATGAAGTGTGTGCATTAGTAAAAAGAATGTGCAGAACAGAACTGTAAGCAAATATTTAATTCTAGTAAGCGGTATATCTGATCTGTTGTTAGCAGTTTTGAAACTTTACGTGGCTTCCAAGTTTGAACAAATCAGTGAATATGTTTAAAATAATAGGAGCCAAGTTTCTCGCTATTGAGCACAAAAATTACAGTTATGAAAAGAAGAGAGATGAGATTCTGTGTTTTTGGATTATAATTGAAGTGTTCAGATTTATGCACATTTATTCATATGGATGATGTACACATATACTTACATCCATATTAATAGTATTAATATTTATACACTTGTATGTTTCATGCCCTGACATTGCCTATACAGGCTACTTAGCAGTGACTCCACAGTAGCAATGAGCTTGCCCTAGTGACAGGTCTCAGTTTGAAGGGACTCTACTACCCAACTTCAGGATGAGCTGAGTCTTCAAATAAACAATCAAAAAGTGTTATAATAGACTAAGTAAGAATCCAAGAACTCCAAAGTGAGATCAGGAAACTCACCAGGGAGAAAGGGAAATTTCTTCGATACAGCACAATAACTAGCAGTAACTAACATCGATAAAGAGCATGGAATAGAAAAGGCATTATTATTAGATGTAGAACTAACAGGTGAAATATTATACAATGAGATATTTGTATAATCTCAGCATCTCTGATTGCCTCCTGATCCCAAAGGAGAAAGCCTTAACTTCCTATAGGAGAAACCTGAGAGCGATCACCCAACCCCATCCAGTGTAAGGCTACCTGATACCAGCTCATGTGGGTAGTCATGTGTTTTTCTTCCCAGCCCTTAGGCCGGAGATGTGTCTCTGGTAGTTTAAAACAGGTTGTAGTGAAAATGTTTATAATGGACATTGCTTACCTCTACAAATGAGAGGTGTCTTTCCAAGCCCCGAAAACAGTTGTTTCAAGAATGTTAATGATACAGACCAAGTGATCAAGACTAGTGTTACCATTCTGAGACAAATGGGTGTAGTTGGAGAAGTCTCATCCTTCCCACCAATTCCCAAATAACCACTCTAAGGCTTAATATCAATTGTAATTATTTGGCTGATGGCTCAGGCTTGTTATTGGCTAGCTCTTCTTACATTAACCCATTTCTAATGATCTGTGTATCGCCACATGGCTGTGGCTTATGGTGATGGCCTGCATGTTGTTCCTCCGGCAGCCACATTGTATCTCCCCAACTCTGCCTTCTTTCTCTCCATAACTCGGTTTGGATTTCCCACCGAGCTATGTTCTGCCTGGCCATTGGTCAAAACAGATTTATTCATCAACCAATAGAAGCAGCACATACTCACAGCCTACAGAAGGACATCCCACATCAAATGGGTATCTTGTGTCCAAAATGCCACCTACAGCAAGCTCTTCCTTCCACTTCTTTCTGCATTCCTTCCAGAAAAGTTTTTGGTTTGTCAACATATAAAGCTTGCAGTTTTGTTATGGCTGATGCTTTTTTGGGGTTGGTAATGGTTGTGATGCCAGAGACAGGACATGCTAGGCCAGAGCTCCGCCACCAAACTAAATCTCAGGCAAGTGCTTCACCACCAAACTAAATCCCAGCCTCTTGGAGGTTTCATCAACCAGAGGGGTGACTACCACAAAGTACTCTGTACTACCGATGCTTTGAAAGTAAGCACCTTGTACCCCCAGGGTATTGTGTGTGTAACAGTGGCACTTCTGATCTCAGAGCAAAGGTGACAAAAGATGTGGTGGATGGGAGGGGTCAATGGCAGGTGGTATTGGTGACACCGCTCGGTCCATAGTTGGACTGGAGTCATAAAGTACTTCTATCCGAGGCTTATTGTTGAACTTGAGGTTTATCTAATGGATCATTTGAGTTCTGTTACATGTAAAATGGCAAGAAAATAATAATATGGAAAACAGAATTATAAATATCATTGTGGCTGTTTTAGAAAATATAGTCAGCCAGAACTCTAATTGGAAAGAGAGGGAGCTAATAATTGCATAACTGTGTATTTTTGTTATTTTTGTTTTGAGCGAGTCTCTTTCTATCTAACCCTGGCTGTTCTTAGAACTCACTAAATAGACCAGGATGACCCTGAACTCACAGAAATCAACCTGTCTCTGCCTCCTGCGTGCTGGGATTAAAGGTGTGCTATAGCTCTGCCTCCTGAGCGCTGGGATTGAAGGTGAGCTATAGCTCTGCCTCCTGAGCGCTGGGATTGAAGGTGAGCTATAGCTCTGCCTCCTGCGTGCTGGGATTAAAGGTGTGCTATAGCTCTGCCTCCTGAGCGCTGGGATTCAAGGTGTTCTATAGCTCTGCCTCCTGAGCGCTGGGATTGAAGGTGAGCTATAGCTCTGCCTCCTGAGTGCTGGGATTGAAGGTGTTCTATAGCTCTGCCTCCTGAGTGCTGGGATTCAAGGTGTGCTATAGCTTGGCTTATTCAATCCTTTCTAGTACCTGTTCACTCGTTTTTATTCTCTTTTATTAAAAACAATTCCTGAAGTGGTAGTGCACACCTTTAAACCTAGCACTTGGAAGGCAAAAGTGGGTGGATGTCTTTGAGTTCAAGGCCAGCTTGGTCTACACAGAAAGTTTCAGGCCAGCTGCAACCCAAAAAGGAGGGAACTGGAGCACAGACCACAGCTATTTTAGGTAACTTGAAGAATGGAGGTAAATGTTTCCATTCTTATATTTGCTCCTTTTGAAAGTTAGCTTTATTGAACTAAATTTAATTACAAGAAAAGTTAAATTTTCTTGAGATAGGGACTTACAATATAGTACAAGCTGGGCTTACCCGTTCCGATGCTGGAGGCATAGCCACGAGCTATAGCCAAAGTCTCAAATTGTAGGTGTGTAGTTAAATGTATTGTAAGAAGTACATACAGTGTTTGAGCTATCACAGCCACCCAGCTGGCCTAGAACTGTGATCTTTTGTAGCCTAGGGTGACTAAGTGTAGAGTGCTAAGTACACACGATTATAAAATGGCTTTGGGGTCCTGTTCCTCTAAGCATACTGCTTATAGAGTCCATTCAGGTGTTGTGTGTATCATACTTTCTCCCATTCTTGCTGGGGTTCTAGGTTCCCTCTGGCTAGACTATCCCACACACTTGATTCATATAGCAGGTAGTGGGCATTTAGGTTGTTTCCAGTTTTTAGCCACTGTGAATATGATTACTAAGAAATTCCTTAACAGTATTACTTGTGTTCTTATATAATAAGGTTAAGTACCAGCTTTGCGAATTTGACCATCAGTAATTGTGAGAGATCCATAGAGAGAAACCTACTGGCAGGGGTGCCGGCAGGATTCTGGTTGAGCTGTCTTCATGAGGTGACCAGCTACTAGACCAGTTGGTCTCTCAGATTCTACACCTTGATAGCCTTCCTCCTTATACCTTTTCCTCATGCCGTCAACCTATTGTTTATCTTCCTCCAGTTTGAAATCCCTTCTAGAGTCCAGGCCTACTAAACCTTGTTTATTTTTACTAGATACAATGCCTAGTATAATGTCTTCCACTTAGTGGATCATTTGACGTCTTCAGTCTTTTCCTTGGATACCTGAGTGGTTTTTGTTAATTCTTTAGGTTCACTATTACATTATCTCTAGTGTGTTATAAAATAGGTTTTCTTGAGCAAAGATAATTTTATCCCTACCTATGCATTAAAATCATTCACTATGTAACTTATGAGTGGATTTCAAATTGTTTATGGCACTCAGGGTTTTTAAGTGGATTTGGTTTTGGTTTTGCTGTTGTTCAACTCTAAAATGAAAAGATTACATGAAAGAAAATGAGATTTCCTTTCATATCTGATGTTCCAAGATTCCATGAGAAGCTGACCTAATCAGAAAGACTTGCAAGGGGAGAGGGCAACAGAGGAGGACTGGCACAGGGGGACGGAGGTAGGAAAACAGCAATGTGTGCCATGCTTTACCCCATAGAAAATAGCAGGCATGCCCTCTCAGGTAGAGTGGCGTTAATGGCGTGTCTTTTGTACAGCGTTATGAAGAGAGCTCAGCCTGTGATCCTTTCTCTAATTAGTTCAGAGTGTCACTTAGTAGGCAGCTTCTTACTGCTGTCATTTATGTCGGGAACCATTAGTCCATGCTTGGGTCATGCAATCTCTGTTGTGTTGCTGCTTCTGGCATTATGAATAATGCCCACTTTCCCTTCTCAGATACATGTCCCGCAGAGTCTTGGTTACACACTCCAGCCTCTGTTCTGGACTCTAGTGCTCAGACTCGGCCATGGCTCCTCACTGACAGAGTGCAACAAGCTCTGAAGTCATCAGCTTGACCTATGTCATGCAATGCTCCTGACGTTGATCTAGTTGAGCACTCTGTTCTAACCAGTCTGAGAAAGTCTTGCCTAAAGACTTATCCCTCACTTAAAGCCTTCCTGTCCACTCCAACTCGCTCCCTCCCCCAGCCCCACAACTTTGGCAGGGCATAAGAAAAAACCAGTCATTTTACGTGCACTGCCCACTCTCCATGTGCTGAGCACTGAGCTGGGTTTAGGGTAATGAAATCTAAAGGTTACAAAGGAGAAGACATAAAAACCAATAGCAAATTATGATACCACTCTAGAATGGGATGGACACAGCACACACTAAGTGCATCCAGGGCTGAAGAGTTGATTTGGGAAAGACAGGAGAAAGAAGGGCAGGATTTTGAGGTTTTCCCAAGAGGGCATCGTGTAGTGTGCATAGTGTAGGGGGTTGGGTGGGTGGACCAGGGCATTCCAAGAAGAGGATGAAACATGTGCAATGATCCTTAGCCAGAAAATACGTGGTGTGAAGGGGGAAGCAAAAGTAGCCTCGTCTGACTACCCATTTGTTGCGATGTACTAGTTTGGGACCGAGTGTGAGACAAGGCCTTGGACCACATCCAGGGGGTGTTGTTGTTAGGAGCACCAGAAGGGACCTTATTTCACATTCAGCATGGACCCCTGATGCTTCCATTTGAGTGAGGTGTGGGTGTATTTTCATTCTGGGGCTTTACACTACAACATTACCACATGCATTGACCAATCTGAGTGCAGGCTTTCCTTATGTTGCCGTATAATTAGAAGCCAGTGAGTTGAAGTTCCACAGCGGTACATAGGCTGGTAGTGATAGCTTTATGGAATTGTTTATTTTTAGTTTGGCAAAGGCGAGGCAGTAAATATCTCAATTAGTAAACTAAAGCAGCATGGATGAGAAATGCCCACAAGGAGATCAGGAGTTTGAAATAACTGAGTCACTTAATTGAAGGAAACCCTCACGTTGCTTCTCATGGAGCTTGAAGAACCCACCCAGCAACGGTTTCAAATGTGATTTGCAACATGCGTCCAGTGTTGGTGCAACAAGGGCCTTGCCCTTGCTCAGGCTTGACTTGTTTAGGAAGTTCCTCTCTGGATGGGGATGTAACTGAGTGGGTAGAGTGCGTGACAGGCACCAAACCCTGGGGTCAGTGCCCAGACCTCACCTAGCTGGGAGCCATGGTGCGTGTGTGTAATCCAGCACTCATAGGTCCATGGTCTTCCTCAGCTACATGGCAAGTTGGAGGCCACCCAGCCTACCCGAGACCAGTCTCAACAAAACAAAAGGAAGTTCTCTTTTAAAGAGAGCCACTCACAGGATGTTGTCTTCATCCTCCAGTCCTGTCAGCATGACACCAAGGGACAATTTATTGTGAAGTGTCCCATTCAGAGATTGCAGCCTGACATATGAGCGTGAATGTACTTAATGAAAGCAGGCATGCAGTGCTGGCCTCTCCTCTTCGGTCTCCTCCAGTAAATTTGAAGTTACATCTTACATCTCAGAACAAGACCAGTAGTAGTCTACAAAGCTTAGCTTTAAAATAAAATTTGCTTAAACAGAGAACTAAGTCATGTTCTTCTTAGAATTTCACAGTCTTAGGAAATAGTGACCATTCAGAAGATGAAAGAGTAATAATACTACAAGACAGAAAGGATAGAACAACAACAACAACAAAGCATGTGTGCTGTGAAGATGCAAAATACAAGGCTGGCAAGATGGCCCAGCAGGTAAAAGTGCGTATAAGGAAAAAGCTTAAGGGCCTGAAAACCAGAAAACCATCTCCCACAAGGTGTTCTCTGACCCTCACACCGCACAGTGACTCACACACACGCACACACACAGAGAGAGAGAGAGAGAGAGAGAGAGAGAGAGAGAGAGAGAGAGAGAGTTACAAAATACAAGTGTTTAGTTGTTATGATTTTGTTTGAATTTTTAAAACTTCAACCTTTAGTCTGACTGAACCTCTGGTATGAATGCTACACTGTACAGGTCTTTGGATTGTCTGTCTTCAGGAGAGTAAGGAGAGGAGACCACAGAAAGATTCGCTTCTACTGCTTTAGTTTACTACCTGTCTGATGTCTGTGGTCTGTGGGGGAATGACGGAGGTCTGTGCACCTGCCGATTACATCTCTGTCTGTTTCTCTGTTCTGCAGACTGGAAAAAGATAGCATTCAGCAAAGCCTCAGTAATGAAGCAAAGGCCCAAGCCCTTCAGGCCCAGCAGAGAGAGCAGGAGCTGACACAGAAGATAGAGCAAATGGAGGCCCAGCACGACAAAACTGGTGGGTGGTAGGGAAAGATTAGAGCCTGGGCACTTGCTCACAAGCCAGGCCCACGCCTTACTGTGAAATGACATCAGGAACACCTGTAACCTTTGGCTGGCCGAAGGGAGCAGATGCTAACTACACCGGAGATTCCGAATTACATATTAGTTAGCGTTTAAAAGAGAAAATGGAAAGTATTGCCCACTGTCTGTTGATTTCAGAGTGCTGCTCTCACATCTGTTGCACCATCTGGATTATGAGTTTATTTACCTGTGTTCAAGAAACGTAAAGCTGAGAGAGACCACAACAAAGTAGAAAAACAAAGGGCTTGTTTTTGGCTGGGTTTTCAGGCACACATGTTATATAAAGAAAATAGCATCAGAAGCTCTGCGGGAAATGCTCTGAGCTTACAGTTAGAGTCTCCTGAATAGCATTGAACAGTTCCCACAGTACACACATTATAGCTACTCTAAAAGCCTAATGAGTTTGCTTCAGCATCCAAACTGGAGAAAAGCTTTAGCCATTAATCGGTTCTTAATTCACTGTCGCAGCTGGATGTAATTCAGTGGCTCCAAATTGATATGTTCCTTTATTTAATCTTTGCAGCTTCGAACATTTTTAGCATTTGTATGATTCCCCACCTCCCCCAATGCAGTCGAGAGTGATGCTTAATCCTCTGCATTCTTGAGCTTCTCACAACTGCTGTTAGAATTCACTAATACAAGGCATTGACCACAGCTGGCAGCTTGGCTAAAGATGGCCATCTTTCATCACGTTGGCACTGTTCTGCAGACTGAGTTGGCCAGTAACTCTTTACCTTTAATTTGAAAGTAAAATGCACTTTGAAAATAGGCAGTTTGATGTGTGCAGTCAGAGCGTTATGTGGTTCTTTCGCTTTTGACTTGTGTGTTCACAGACAGTGTTAGTCAAAACAAGACAGTGTCAGTCATTATAATTCCGCACCACATACTCCACGCTGATTGTACCATTAAAACAAAAGTTTAATTGATCCTGTCTCCTCCAGGAAAAAATGTTGCTTCATTTTAGTGCCTTGATTTATTTTTCTTTGTATGCTATATGCTTTTTTTCCCCCAAGCCTTAGCTGAAAAGGAAAAAAATTACTTACAGATGAATTTCACAGGATTCAATGGGTGTTATATTTAATTGTATGGTTAAAAAATGATTTCACCTATTGGTAACAAATGGACACTGTTCATTAATGATTTGTTTACTTTTTAAATGATTTATTTACTTAGAAAGGCAGCTATCATGATGCCTCATGTAGAGAGTTTCTTCTCAGCATTTAGCCAGAAGAAATGAAAATCCTCTGGATTTTTTTGTTTGTTTGTTTGTTTGTTTTTGGTTTTTTTTTTAACTAAAACACAAAAAGGAGTTCATAGGAGAAATTGACATTTGAGCCCACTGCTAACAGAATCATCCTGGTCCAAGAGTCTTGGGCAGAATTTCAGGGTTGAGTAAGGTTTTAACTGTTAAAATCATCTTTAAGATCTTTTATTTTGCAAATACACACAAATCACAGTCTCTTCAGTCCCTGATCGGAACTTTATTGAAACACATACCATTAAAGTACAATCAAGTTTTTAAGAACAGTTGTGTGATTTTACCTCATAACTGGAGAATATGCAGGCTTCAAGGGTAAAATACAAGATAAGAAGTGTTGAGCACCAACTCCAGTGTAACAGAGAATTCCTCGGTTTTAGTTTCGAATTATCTGGTTGTGAGAATTTTTGACACTGTTTATAGTAAAATTGTCAAAATAAAAATATAATATCTTGCATACTTCAAAGATACAAGCATTTATGACTTCATTTGACATATTTGACAGTTTATGAGCACACTAAAATGTTACACAAGCTGATATGAGCAAAATTATTCTGGGTATACAAATATATTGTGAAAATAAATGTCTCCCAAGACTTAGTGTCCCACCAGATGATAAGTCCTTTCACTTAGGACACTGGCAGTGGTCTGGTAGCTGTAGGCAGGGTGCACTGATCTGAAGCACTTAGCACTGGGCATTGAAAGCACGGCAGAGCAAAGCCACAAACAACTTATGTTGGTGGGGTTATTGTTATTTCTAGAAAATGAACAGTATTTGTTGCTGACATCCCAGAATACGTTTCTGACAAAGCTAAAGGAAGAGTGCTGCACGTTAGCCAAGAAGCTGGAGAAAATGTCACAAAAAAGCAGGTAGGTGATCTGGCAATATTATACAATATCCTCAGAAAACTGTTTGACAGCTAAAATTTAGCCTTAAAATTGCATTTTTATATCCTGTAATCTAACATTAAAATTAGTCATCTGTTGCTGTAAGTTTTCTGTGAGAACGGGTTTCTATATGCATATTTTTGTGATTGTCCTTCTAGAACCCCACCCTTTCAGTTCCAAGGATGGACTCCAGGGCCCTGTGCACAGGAGCCAAGCACTCTGCCCCAACTCCACCTGCTACTCAACTTAAATTTTATTATGGTTATGTATACTTGCTTGGCTTTTTATAATGTTTAGAATTTAAAACCATGAAAGTTCAGGAACAAAGGCCAAAATAATCATTACCATAATAAAGAATACAGATAAGATAGGTCAAGCAGTTTTTGAATCCTACGTTGATATAGGTAATGCATTTTAATCTGTTGCCACAGTTCTTTGGGAACACACAAAAGCTATCTTTAATGCTAATCATTCGGAACATTAAGGAGGCAAAGGTGCATGGAATAATACATACTGAACTCTCACAAGAGCATGAGACAGTAATTAGCTTTCTTTACAGATTAAGAAAGCATAATTGTTTGAATAGCTTTGGGTATGAGTTTTGGCCTAGGTATTGCTGTTACCAATGTCTAGAGTGTTTCTGAAGTCCGTGGTGATACTTATACATCCTATTAAAGTTCAGAATTGCTGGATATAGTGACTTCCACCTGCAGCCTCAACCACTCTGCAGGCTAAGGCAGGAGCATTTCTTGAGCCCAGGAGTTCTAGGCCAGCCTAGGAAAGGAAAGGAGACAATTGCTCAGTCATAGCATTAATTATTGGAAAAGCTAAGTAGGAAAAATTAACCTTTAAATATCCCTGAGGAAAGTAGACATTCTTGGGACATGGTAGTTAAACTGAGAGCCAGGGCTAACCGGCACTATGTCCCTGGGCTCCTGTTTTCCTTCTTTAAATTAATCAGTCATTCCCGGTGCAAGACTCATGAACTTGAACCTCAGCACCTGTCAGCCCGGATGCTGCTTTGTACACTGATCATGCTCCTTCGTATCTGACACATAGATGGCACCCAATGCATACTTATTGAATGAATGATAAATGAATGGGAAAAACAGGTGTGGTGCCACCCTCCACATGCTGGTCTGATTTCTGGTGCCAGCCTGTTCCTTTGTGGGTGACAAGCAGTATGCAGGAAAGAACTCTTTGGGATTCAGGAGGAACTGGACTGGAGTCTTGGTTTGTCAGTCACTGCTGGGTGTGTAATCTTGATTGTGTTGCCCAGTCTCCTTAATCCCCAGCTTTGTCAGCTATAAAAGGACTTCTAAAGCCCTGTTACAGGATGGTTGTGGGATTTAAAAGTACATTTAATGACAGGCATGACAAGCACCCATACTGTGTACTGTCACCCCTCGACAAACACAGGGTGTTGGTGACGGGACTGACATCATACCAAAATCCATAGATGACAGATGCTCACATTCTTAACATAAAAGATGTAGTGGGTTCCAGGACCAAAATCCATAGATGACAGATGCTCACATTCTTAACATAAAAGATGTAGTAGGTACATGGAACCTGCCTATAGTCTCCCACATATTTTTTATGTTATTTCATATTTTTGTGGTGTTAGAAATGGAACCCAGAGCTTAACACATGCTAGGCTAGTAGTCCGTCACTAAGCTGGACTCCTCTCTCATATATTTGAAATTATCTCTAGATTACCTATAGAGCCTAATCCAATTCACACAGTATGGGATTAGTTGTTAGACTCTACTGGGTACAGAATATCACAGGACAATGAGCTTGCTCAGTACAGACCCAGCATTTCTGTCTGTGGTTGGCTGAGCTGCCGAAGAACCCACAACTGGGGAAGGCAGCTGTGAGCCCCCTGCCCAGTGCTTGCTTACGCCATAGCAAGGTACAGGGGCTGCTGTCCCAGCAGCACACACTTCATGACTGGGCAAGGTCAGAGTAACATTTCCAAATGGGCAAAGTCTGTTTTGCAATGAAAATATCTGTGGGGCCAAACAGAACCAACCCGGAAACACTGGAGCCTCATGACTTTGTGGGTCAGGCTCTTTTGACTCCAGGTTCTGAGTCTGAAGAATTAAAATGGTAACCCACGAGGCTAAGGCCTTACAAGCAGTGAACATCAATAAATTGTTCTATTTTGAAACTTTTTATGTACTTCACAAAACAGTAGACAAAATAACTTGTGTTTTTAAGGTTTTTAAGGTAAACTTGTGTTTGATGTTCTTTGTTTTCTCGTCAATCCCACCTCGTTTCTCCCCCAATTTCGAAGGAATTAAGACATTTTCACTTTCTTTTATGCTCCGTTTGACATTCTGTTTTGATGTTATCTTCTGCTGTGATCAGAATGTTTCCTTTAAAATAAGAAAAATAATGTAGTAAGACCTGTCACTTCAGGGCATGTGTCTATGTACTCTTTGCCAAACTTTTGGGATGAATACCTTCTGATGGCCGTTGAGGTAAGGGGTTCTCTCACTGGGGGAATGCAGTCTCCAAAATAATGGTTTCATCCAGATAGTATTTTGATTCCGGTTTTTCACAAAGTACTATAGTAAAAATTTTAATGAAAATAAAACATGATTTTTTTATTATCAATAAAAAATATTTCCCCCTTTCCTTGCTAAAATTTCTGTAAACATTTTGTGTCATTCACAATGCCACACTAAATAAAAGGACTCAGCATTGAAAATACGCTTCTTCACTTACAGATTTAGGCATTTGACTAGAGCCCATGAGGAATCATCAGAGAAGCCCGAGAAGCTGACAGTCTGGGCTCTCCATGCCCATACATCCTGCCTCTCTGCCCAGCCTCCTGCAAGGCTGCTCTCAGAAAATGAACTGAAACTGTGTGTGTGTGGTGGTGGTGGTGGGGTGAGTGTGTGTGTATAAGTGTGTGTGCATGAGTGTGAGTGTGTGTGTATCTCTGTGTGTGCGTCATGATGCATTTTCTCCCCAAGTAAACTGTACATCGCATTATGAAAGTGACAACTGTTTCTGTCTCTGAAGCCTCTGTAGCCATAAGCCCATTACTTTACACTGTGTGTGCAGTGGTGCCTGAAACCACAGGGGTTGTGAATGGGATGTTCCCATTTAAAATGAAGACTAAAATCCTGGTTCATACTTTACATCTTTTATAGCTTGTTTTTTACCATGAGGCAAGAAAATTAATTCTATTTTGTCTTTAATTGGCACCAGGCAGACATTCTGGCTGGTTTTAGTTAAGTGTAAACTTTAGCTACCCCTTCCCACTTGAGAACTTCCGTAGTTACGAGGTTGTTGAGGGAGGTAAATCGATGCACTTAGATATCTCTCATGCAATTTATTTTTCTTTATCAAAGTGAAGTAAGTATTCTCTCTCCCTAGATAGTTGGAAAAATCCACATTAAAATGTTAGAGGCACAGTTTGAATTATGATCAAAAACCTGGTCTGGGAAGACCTAGAAAATGTTGGGCACTGGCTGAAGATGAGCCTGTGCCCACCCTGACGGAGCCCTTCCATGTTGGAGATCAAGCACACTTTGTTCTAGGTCTCAGCCTCTCTCTCCTTGCACACTGGAAGGATAGGAATGAGCACAGAACTGGGTCTGTGTGATTTTCCTTCTCCCCATTTTTCTGTCATTGTCACTCGCTGGGTTGCTAGGCCTGTGGATTGACGTCTAGCACTGCCCATTGTGTATTTGTGATTTGCGTTTTGTAATTAAGAGGAACAATGGGAGTCCATGGGGTCTCGTTATATATAATGGTTGGTTTAATTTGTTTCACTTCTATCTTGTTAATTGTAAATTGATCATTAAGATTTGAATTCTAATCTGTCACCAGGGTTGTGAGTATTGAGGCTAGAGTAATGATCCTGGTTTTAATCACTGATGATGAGAAACAAATTTTATAATTTTGGTACATATTGCAGTTCATATATTTTAACACTGTATTTTATGGTGTTATAAATATTGTTAAATGACTTTTAGTGTAGTTTTACTATGTGGACTATAATGTATAAATTATATTACTGTTTTGGCAGCAGTAGGTATCCAACTGTGTGAGTTTAATTGAAGTAAAAGAACACACACCCGGTTGAACTATTTTTTTTCTCCTTGCATGTTTAGATGATGTTAGGTTGGGCTGCTACAAAAATTATATTCTACAAAAGGAGACTGACATTGGCCTTCTGTTAATTGTTACCAAAAGTCAAACCAGAATCCAAAAGAATAAAAAATGAAGGTGTCATATTTTTCCTTTAAAAGCAATTATCATTATAATCTGAATTATAGTAGTAAAATGTCTTCCATTCATGCAAATGCAATTACACGCTGTAGCTGCTGCATAAAATGCAGGGAAAGTTCATGCTTCCGAAAAGCCAGAAATTACCTACATTTCTATGAAAATGAATTAGAGTCATTTTCCTTTGATACAGGAGTAGGGTAAATGTGTTTTCTCTTTTCCCTTTGCAAGCCACTAGTTGTATGACTATATTGTCAGCTCTGCCCAAATAAAGAGCGATGTATGTACACATAAAGCGAAGCTATATTGTATGACAGAAGCTTGTAGGCAAGTTGCCATTATAAATAAAGTGGGGGGAAAAAACCCAAAGTATACAAGGCAGGAAAGATTGTTACAATAGCACATATTATAGTAGTCTATCCTTGAAAAATAACATTTTTGTGTTTACTGAAGACATAGGGAATCACAAAGAAAAATTAAGGAAACGTTACTATCTCAAGAAAACCCTGGTATTTTTTATATGCTCCTCATCATTTTCATGTGTATGTAAATATTGTCATGTACAGCAGCCTATGTCATGATAGGTTCATGCAATGTGTGCAGTTTTACAGCTGCTTTCTACCTGTTTCATTAATGAGCAAGTTTCTCTGTCAGTAAATACGTCACCAACAAAATTGTAATCAAACCCCTTCTTTGTATTCATTAGATGTTTATGACTTTTAACTATTGTAGTAAAAATATAACTATAACATAATTAAATTTTGATGATTCTTTTAAAAGGGAATTGTTGCTTCAAAAGCCAGACAGACTTTTCAAGGCTGCTAATATGTATTATTTTGCTTAAGTGTTGAATTAGCCTCTTCTCGGTAGAGATGCCCCTAAATAAATATGTGACTGCAAAAACTGAAGGGTTCATAGGAGAGATGATGAGCACGAGCATTGCACTGTGGGTAGAACTGCCCCTTCAGAGATAAGAGCCCAAGCAGGGCTGGCCACTCCCCATTGCTGGCCTTAGACAACTGGTTAAACTGCATATTTCCCTCACAGAAAAAGGAAATTAAAAATTGCTTCCTAGAGTATTTGAGATCTTCAAAAGATGGGTTTGATACACAGTGGGGATGAAATATATATTTGACAGTAGTATCAAATCTTATTACTCATTTCTGAAAACAGTAATAAAGTTGAGCATTTTATAAATAACCTTTCATGCTCTACCTTCTAGAGAAATTGTCCATATTTCCTTTATTTTTGTAACTTTGTTGGTTGCAGCACTTTAATGGTACTTGTAACCCTCATCTATCTGATTTTCATGAATATTTTTGCAGTGTTCTTAAGTTTTTTTTTTAATTACTAAATGTTTTAAGGGCAGTTTAGGTTCCCTCGTAAAATCCAACAGCAAGTGCACAGTGCTGTCCCCTCCCCTCCCCTCCCCCTCCTCCTCTCCTTTCTCCTCCCTCTCCTCCTCCCTCATCAGTCCTGACTTTCACCAGAAGCACACTATCTATTGTAAGACTTGGTAAAACACAGAAAAATATGGTCAAACAAAAGGGAAAAACATTCTACCATCCAGAAATTATCAGTATTAATATTTGGTGCATGCCCAAATAGCTTAATTGTAAAATGGAATTGCATTATACATGCTGATTTTTTTTTAATGTTTCCCTGTTCTTATCAAATACTACATTTTAGGTGAATAAATTACTTTAGCACATAGGCAAGATAGCCAATGTCCTATTGATAGAATTCTTGATAAAGTTTCCATGTATTGCGTCATAGACCAAAATTCTCTCTATAAGTAGTGCTATACTGAATATAAACATAAACATATGGCTTTCCAAATATATGATTTTTTTATATGTGAATATTTTATATTTTGATTATTGTCTATTTTTCTTTGTGCTTTTCTTTGAAAATGGCACCTCTCTTGGAAGCAGCCTGAGGATATAGGTGTGGGTTCTTTTCCATGTATTTTATTATTTTCCTAATCTGGTTTAAGGACTTTTTCCACTTGGAATGTATTTCAATATATGTCAGGAGATGCTAGTTTGGGAAGAAATACTAAATTCAAATATTATTATAGCTTCTAGGTTACTTTTTGTATTATATGTGATTTTGAATGGATAGACATGAATCATTTATCCAGGGATGTAGACTGTTTCACATGCGGGTGTATTCTTAGTGGGAGAGGCTAATGCAGAGAGAGTACCTAGCTGAGCTTAAAAAAGGAGATGAGTTATACATACTCTGTCTTACCTGAAAACTGGTGGAAAAGTTGAGGTATAGGGCATTGTTCAGAAAGGCAAACTCTAGGGAAATGTCTGGGTGAACAGAGCTCAGTTCAAGGCCATGCTCAATTGTGAGCGGTGAAGGTACTGATGCTAGCAGGCTCTGTTTCATGTGCACTTGAGTAAAAATGAAAACAAAGGGAGGAGTGGGGTGAACTGACATTGCCCCACCCCTGCCAGCATGGTGGTCTTTGGGTTGAACAGTCTATGGGATAAGATTTCCCCTGGCAAACCCAAGGTCTTCTTGACTAGAACAAAAGGTGGCCTTGCATAATGAAGCAGTCCTTTCTGGGAAGGGAACTAATTTCTCATCAAAAGTGTTTTTGGTTAACTTAAAAAATTACTTACAGTGTAGAGAAATTGAAAGTGTGACTTCTCTAACTGATGAGCCAGTAGGCATGAGGAAATGGCGTCGGTGCTGGCAGTTTAATTTTAAAAAGGACACAACTTTCCTTAGATATCTTTCTGATCTGCAAATGTTAGAGTTGGGATTGTCATCCAAGACTGAAGATTAGTTTATGTCCTGAAAGACATCATTGGTCACCATGGAGACACTGGTGGATTTTGGTCTCAGTGCAGGTCATCTCTCTCCACCCGTTACAGCAGTCTAGGAGCAGGGTGGAAAGGGAATGATGTTACTTTCAGAATATAGATGTCCACGGAAGGGCCAGTTCCCCCATTGTAACTAGAGCTCTCTGGCTTGATCTCTCAGATCTCTGCAGTACTGTAACTGGAGTCCCTATGAGGTACATATTCCTCTACTAGGCATTGTGAATATCTGAAATATTTTCTTTGATATAAAATAATTCTTCACTATTATGCCTAAGTCCAGAGTTTAAGAGAGTGCCACGGTTTGTTTATACAATGAAAATACATTCTAGTGAGGTGACTCTTTGCCATCTACAGTTTCTGTGTTTCCACCCTCTCTAGGTCAGAAATAGTTCGACTCAGTCAAGAGAAAATGTATATGTGTGACAAGCTGGAGAAGATACAGAAGAGAAATGATGAATTGGAGGAACAGTGCATCCAGCACGGGAGAGTGCATGAGTCGATGAAGGAAAGGTAATGTTCATCTGCAGACCCAGGATGACTCAGTTGCACTCTGAGTGTGTCAGAGTCACAGGCAGGAGAGCTCCTGTGGAAAAAGTAGACGTTAGGTTTTTTTAAAGCTAACCAGGTGTATGCTCAACACATAATGCTTGTCTAAGCAAGTCGGCCAGCATGTCTGGACTCTGGGTCGTTACTACATGGAGTTGCTGATGAGGCTTTCATCACAAGATGGAGTATGGCCACTGGCTCTTAGTAGCCTCCTAATAGGTACCTTCCGTAGTGACCACTCTCTTTTCTAGAGACAGAAACTCAGTTCACAGGGAGTCACATATGGAACACATGGTAGAGGTCAAACTCAAATCTTGAGTGATTGATTCCAAGTTCCTTTTCTCTTTTGTGTAGTATTTGGTTGGTGTTCTATTTGTTGTGATATGTATAACCCTCTTTTATGAATATACCATTTCCAAACTCTGGTCATAGAGTTCCCCCAAGAATAAAATCTATGCATTTTGTAACAACCATGAGTAGATTTCTGTAGACTTGGACTTGTGTACTGGACAACTACCAGCTTTCTCATAGAGATGGCTTCATGGCTTCCAAGCTCCCATCTCTACTCCATCCTCCAGAAACCAGTGTGTTTTCTCTGTTTCTATTGACATAATTAGGGGAAAGTGGAAATGTATATCAACTGCACTTTCTTAAACTTAACAGTATTGGGGAAGACAGTGGTGCCTATATGTTGATACCTTGATGACTTGTTTTAAGTAGAGGGGGAACAGCCCAAAGACTGCCTTCCCTTAACAGCATGTTACAGTACAGGTAGCCCTGCAAGGTATTAGTCATTCATTCATTAACTCATAGGATATTTACTTAAACTCAGACAGAAACTGTTCTGTGTTAGAGGTCAGCAAACATTAGTTTTTTTTGTTTGTTTGTTTTTTGTTTTTGTAAAGGTCCAAGGAGTAAATATTTTAGCCTTTACAAACTCCCTTTCTATCTCTCTC